ATGCATGGGCTATCTATCACTCCACAGTTCTCTGCTTTTTTTATTTTTTAAAACAGGATCCGAGGGCCAGGGATATAGCTTAGTGGCACAACTCCTGTTTGGCAAGCACAATGTCCTGAGTTCAATTCCCATAATCCCCCCTGCCCCGCCCCCAAAACACACAGGGTCTTAGTATAAAGCCCAAGAGGTGCTCAAACTCACAATCCTCTTGCCTCAGCCTTCTGCCTGCTGAGTTTACAGGCATATGCCACCATGCTCAGCCGTAGCTTCACTCTCATATACAAAAGAAATAATACCCAAGAATTCTCAGGATAGAACTGATAAAAACTGGAATCAATCTGAATATTCATGAATAGAACAGAACAAATTTTGATATAACTGTATGCTGGATTACCAGACAACAGATGAGAATAGGTAAACAACATAGAAAACACAGGTAAATCTCACAAACAATGAAACAACCAAGAAACATAATATAGGAATTATTTTACTTCATTTAGTCAAGAAGAAGCAAAAATAATCAATGGTGAGAGATCAAGACCATCGTTAGAATTCCAGGAAAGTTACAAGGATTCCTCATTTAACCACCAAGTCCTATTCCTGTAAGTATAGCATTAAAAGAATTAGTTACTAAATGAGGAACTGTATATAGTATATACATTACAATATTCAGAACAGAGAAATGGTCAAAGGACATTCCAACTTGATGACTTTGCCTTTCGTTGCATAACTTCCATCTGGTACATAATGTATAACAGAACATTAAACTGAAGTACTATAGCGAACCATCAGGAAAATTATAGTACTGTATAAAGACTACTAAATAGAAAAAAAACATTGGGGGTCTATGAACAAGAAGTGCAGAATTGTACAAAAAAAAAAAAAAAAAAAAGAGGAGGCGTAAGTCTGAGCAGCAGGGAAGTCCAAACAGTTGTTAGGCCGGTCATTAAATCAGAAACACCTGTACTGGAAACTAGGCAGGGGCTTCCAGTGTTTCATTTTGATCTAGGAACTGTTTCTCAAGTGTGTTGGCTCTATGGAAAATTTGCTGAGGATGCTTCCTATCTGAGAATATTTCTGTTATTTGCTATAGTTGGGGGCCTTCACCCTGAGGAACATTCTCCACTCTCTTTTTATTTTTTATTTAAGACAACTGCTAAGTTTCTCAGTCTGGGCTCAAATTTCTGATCCTCCTGCCTCGGCCTCCCTAAGGGTTGGAGATTCCAGGCATGCACTACCATGCCCAGCATTTTACTTCAATTTTTAAAAGTAGGGTACATTCTGACCTGCCAACCTAATGTGCCAAAAGTACACCGGGCACTTACTTGACGGGTCTCTCTGGTCACACAAAGATGGGCCTCTCCGGTCACTACCAAAGATGAGCCTGATTCCAGGAAAGGAAAAGGACCAAAACAAGTTTGTTTCATGGTTTCTGTGTTTCTGAAATGCTGCATCAGGTACTCAGATGGTGACGGGACCTGGTGGCATCATCACATTATGAACTCAACTAAGCATTTCCAGGCTGAAACACTGAGCAGCAGCCAGAAACAAATCACCGGGCACCCACCTTATCAGCAGGTGTGACAACACCTACTGCCTGAAACCAGCTGTACAAAACTCCTGTCACTTCCCTCTAAGGTCTTGCCTGCCTGTTTTTTCCAAAAACTGAATAGATTAACTGCTGTATTAGATGAACTGTAGATATACCTCAAATTATAGTCAATCTATTACAAAAACTAAAACTAACCCACCAAAAATTTACAAACACCTGTATATACAATAAAATCCTCACATAAACTGTTCCCCATTACCTCCCCACAGAAATACAAGTTGGCCATTTCTTATAATCTTCTATAGTAAAATTTGACCTAAATAAACTCTGTCATTTATAAGACTCCAATGAGAAAAATCTGACCGTGGGCTAGGGCTGGAGCTCAGTGACAGAGCACTAGCCAATCACGAATGAAGCCCTCTTTCAACCCTGTGCTCCACAAAAGCAAACAATTTACTGATTCTCCAACAAAAGAAACATATAGCACTAACATCAAATTATTGTTTCTAAAAAGGAAATTCAAATGCTTGGCATATCAATCTTTCAGGAGAATTGACTACAGCCAAGAAATATATGAGGGCTAGTGTTCATTTGCTGATTTATCACTGCAGACTCATCATGACAGTATGAATGTATGCTTATTCAGGTCTACCTGAATGGACCAGAAAGGCAACTATTATGAACAAGTAAAATGGTAGTTGTTGACTGATAAACACCTAAATAATAACCTACTTATCTTCCACTATGTTGTGTACCATTTACCTTATATTTTTCAAGTTTTACTATGTTCTCCCTTCACATGCCATTGAGTCTCCATTTAATTCTACAAGAGGCGGTTTTGAAATACTGGGCTGAATGTAATATAATGAAAGAAAGAACTACAGTTGTTTCGAACTTTGAAGGTTTTTTGTTTTTGTTTTTTTGTTTTTTTTGGGGGGGGGGAGTTTGGGGATCGAACTCATAACCTCATGCTTGCCAGGCAGGAGGCCATGCTGCTGAACTAAATCCCCAGCCCAGTGGTTTCAAACTTTAAAACTCTATCTACCAAGGAGAAAGTTCCTAAAGAATCAATTTCCAGTCTTCTATCCCTTATTACAAATGTGATTTACAAATACAGGTATTATGATAAAGACAGGCTGTAAAAATTTTTCTCAGTGATTGTTCAATTTTATTATAACTGATGATATAGGCAATTCTTTTTAAGATAGCAAGAGGCATTATGGAAACCATTGTTGAGCACCTTGTATTATGTTTTTACATTATATATTATGTCCACCCTTTTGATTTGACTGACTCTGTTATCTCACATTTGGTTTTACTCTCTTCAAAAAAAGTAATAAGAATGTGGGAATAATAAAACCAAAATGTGTAATTATCATTGTACAAAAGAGAGGGAAAGAAAGTGCTCTAAACGATATAATTGCATGTATATTTAAGTGTATAAGATAGATAACAATATTACTGAGTTTTGTTGAACAGAACTGTTTGTAGTCTCACTGTTTGAATGTCCACTTTATATACTTTAATTTTGTGACTCGAACAAATATTTCTAAGATGACAATATGTAATCTATTAACTAGTGATTTCCTATTCTTTATTTTTTTCTGAAATTCTGTATAACTTGTATCCTTTCTCTCCTTTTTTTTCTTTTTCTCCTCAAATAAAATTTAAAATTTTTTTCTCTGTGAAATCAATCCTTGTCTACCAAATTTCAAGGGCTAGAGATTTCAGTAGCATTAGCATCTGCCTGGCAAGAGCAAGGGCCTCAGTTCGATTCCTGACACCAAAAAAACTTCATTATCTACAAAACTTCTTTAGAAACTGGAAATCCTTGAGCTACAATCCTAAACACACATACAATTCCTGAGATACAAGTCATGGGAAGCCTACATTAAGCAAGAGATCTCACAAGACAGAATCAAAGAAACCAAGGACCACGTATGTCGCTTGGTTGTTGTTTCAAGTCTTTTTAAAATCCTTCAAAGTGCATTCCCAAATCTTCAGCAGTTCCTCACAGAGAAGAGTGAGAGCAGTAAAACATTTTCACATGACTTTACAGAACACTAGTTGGTCTGCCCTGAGTCGTTTAATCCCCAGGAACTCTGCATGTGCTTACAAACACCAGGAACCATCATTTCACAAGTGACTGGTTACACAAAATATACAGGTACATAAACAGAAGATGGTATCATAGAAAGACGCTTAACAGAAAGAAACTGTAGTTTCAGGTGAAAAGCACACATACCTGTGGAAGCGCAGTATTGAGTTGTGTCTGCAACGAATCTCTCTCATGACCAACCTCAAGTAATTCCCCCTGGGTCAAAGCCAATGTTTCTTGAGTCTCTATCAATGTGCTCTGAGAAAGGTATGTTTCTTCTAGAGTGGACATCATGGGCTGTTCAAAATGGGAATCTGCATCTGGTTGTGAAGGGGAGCCAGATCCACGGCTTTCACTTCCTCCTGAAGGGCCTGCTTCACTGATAGTGGGCCTCGCCTCCCACAACATCTTGGAACAAAAACACAGACTACTCTTTAAATGGATAATACAGGTTCCCACAAATCTACAACTTTATGAGTATCTGCAGCTAATAAAGGAAAGCTGACAATCTCTTTATTCTCAGATCTGTTATTCTTTGGATGTAAATACTCTGTGAAGATACACCCAGGCACCCATTAAATGCAGAAAGCCACAATATGAAGACACTCAAGAAGACAACAATGCTGGGAAGAAGTAAGGACCAAAGAGAACTACCTATTTGCCCTATAAATAATAGAGCAAACTCTGTGAGGTTTTGTTTGCAAAAGCAGGCTTTTTAGTTTTGAAAACAAGTGTGCTTCTGTTACCTAGTTTTTTCTATTTCCCGGTAGAGGCCCATTCCACTCAATCCTTTTTCAGGAAAGGCACAGAAGCATTATACAGCCAGAAAAACTGACAAGTACAAAATCCAACAGACATCTTACAGGAATGTGTGCAGTCAGCTCCTGGGAAGGCCTGTCGGTTCCCTGAATTCTTGGGCTGGATTTAGTGAACACGGAAAGGAATTGGATTCGCTATGGCTCAAGAGAGATGTTTTTCAAGGACTGCAGAGGCTGGTCAGTCAACCTAATTTACATAAGTTTACAGCTAAAAACAAAACAAAACAACAACAACAACAACAACGAAAACAAAAAAGGTTCCAAAATGGAAATACAGCAGGTCAGTACAGTGGAGAACAGCCAGGAAGGAAGGAAAGGTGAGAGGTACGATCATGAGAGACTATTCAGTGTGTCACATAGACAGTCCGGCTGATGAGGGCGAAAGGGGTCGCTGAGGACTTCCAGGCAGTGCCCCAGGCAGGCGCGACCCTCCAGCAAGAGATTCCCGCAACCGCACACCTGCCCACGACGATTTCTAGCACCCACCGGGTGCTGTACAGGTTCTGGCCCACTTACCCTGGAGCTTGCCGGGATGCCGCCACAGGTGCGCTGCCGCAATCCCAACACTGGGGTCTTCGGAGTGACCCGCAACAGTTTAGAACCCATCCCTCGAGACCTCGGGGGTCCTGCTAGGCGCGCGCAGGACCAACCGCCAGTGCAGGACCAACTGACAGTCAAGAGCCAAAGCTTTGCCTCTGCCCGCGCACACCCCCGGATGACATTTGGCGCGTAGCCCTTGGCCAGCTCCAACCATCCTGCCTCAGTCTCCCGCTGCTTACCTTGCTCGCAGTCTTTTTAAACACTGCAATATAAGACAAAACCTTTTTCAAAAAGGAAACAGGGTTGAGTTGACTTAAGAATTCTAATCGGAAAGAACCAATAACCCGGAGAGATAACACATGTGAATTAGCTCAGTTTAGCCCTTCTGCAGTGTGTACACATATCAAAACATGTGACAAACTGGGCGTGGTGGCACACACCGCTATTCCCAGCTCGTGGGAGGCTGAATCAAGAAGACTGCTGTGAGTTCAAGGACAGCCTCAACCACAGAGCAAAAGTGTCTCAAACATCCAAAGAACAAAAACAAGAGGCATGTTACCAATCATAAATATAGACAAAGTTTTATCCTGCCGATTTTAACTTGGGGAGGGGAGTGTGGGAGTGTGTCTCAGTGTTAGGGTGCCTGAGGAGAGCATGTGTGAGTGTCCTGGTTCTGTTCCCTGCACCAAAGAAAAGTGGGAGGAAATATCACATGCAGAAGTCACCAAATGTGGGTCTCTTGATACTTCACGCCTTCAAGTTTGCATTATTTATCAAGCAAAGCACCTTCTGGGCACCCAGCAGTGACCTAGGAGAGAAATGGACTCTGTGTTCAGAGGCAGCCATGCCAACCACCTAGTAATGAAGAGTGGACGGTGTGTGGGGGCTCTTGTGTCACTTAGCACAAGCTTGATAGCCTAAAGCAACAATGTCCCTTCAGTTGTATAGGTCAGGACTCTGGCAAGAGTCTTCCTGAGGTAAAAACATGGTATAGCCAGGCTGCCTTCCTTCCTGAAGGATCCAGTGGAAAATTCACTTCCTCCTGCTTCCAATTAAGGAGGGACTTGTGGATTCTGTCCACTTTCCTCAATTTCAGAGCTGGCAGTAACAGGCAAGGTCCTCTCCCAACCCACCACTGTCACTCTGAGCTCTTAGCCTCCCTTTGCCACTTGAAGGCCCCTTTCGATTATGGTGGGTCCACTCAGAAAATCTAAAGTGATCTCTGTTGAACAAGTTTGTTTTTGGCAGGGTGTGGCAGCATACATCTATAATTCTAGCTGAGGCACGAGGATTGCTGCAAGGTGAAGGTCAGCCTGGGCTGGCTACATAGAAGTTCAAGGCCAGCCTGAGCTACAAATCAAGACCCTGTCTCAAAAAGCAAACAAACAAAAAGCTATGTTTTCTTTATGGTAAAACACACACAAAACTTTCCATCTGACCCATCTTCAGGTGCACAGGTCGGGGGCATTAGGTACACTCACACTGCTGTCCAGCTGTCCCCCCGTCCACCTCCAGAAGGTCCTCGTCTCCCCACACTGAAGCTCTGCCCCCTTTAACCACTGATTCCTCTGCGTCCTCTTCCTGCTTCCATCTGGAACCTAATTCTCCCGTGCGAGACAGGACATTCTCACAGATCCCGGGGATGACGATGTGGGCTTCTTTGGGAAGACACTGTTCTGCCTGGAAGAGCAACCTGGGCCTACTGAGTCTCACAGTGCACCTGACAGGTGAGATTTCCTTATTTACTGGCAGGGGGTTTCATTAACAGAGACAACATTAACCACATTAAATCTAGATGGCTTGTGTTTATGGAAAATCTTACAGTACAGAAATGACAACTGAGATGTCTGGCTCATGTGATTTTTAAATGTTCATTGAATAAGCACTATTGGAACAATTGTAATGTTGGGGGAAAAACAATCTCGCCACTCAGCCTGTGTTTACTGTATTTGATAGACAATGTTCCGTACATGGCGTCACCTTCACAATCATACTCAAAAGCAAGGTGTCTGTTTCCATGGCAGAACATACATGTCAGAAGAAACAAACAAACAAACAAAAACAGAATTCACAATGCTGGATGGAAGCAAGGACCTGAAGGCATCTTGGTGTCTCCAGAAAAGCAAGTACGAATTACTAAATGTATAGTTGTACCTGATTGCAATACACGCTCAATACATTCCATGCAGTTGTTGCTTTGAGCTGGGTCTCCTTATGTTGCCCAGGCTGACCTGGATTGTCTAGGCTCAAGCAAGCCTCAAAGCGCTGGGAGCAAAGGCATGTGACATGGTGCCTGGCTCATCCAGCTGGGAAGATGTGTCCTGGCACTTGAGCAAGTGAAATGCTTCTAGCATGCACCTGACTAGAGAGAGAGCTGTCTTGTCTTTTGGATTTTGGAAGACAAGGACTCACTATCTAGTTCAGGATGGCCTCAAACTTGCAGCAATTCTCTGCCTCAGCCTCAAGAGTGCACCCCTTCAGCTAGTTGAGGGGGCTATTTTTAACCCTCCTCAGATAAAGAGGCTGAACATCTGCAAGCCAGTGCAGGAGGCAAAGCACCTGCCTACTCTACCAGCGTCTGCAGGGTGCAAAAGCACAGGGCACAGCTCTGTGGGGAAGCCTCTCACGGACCTGTGTTCTCTCCTTGGTTGTGCGATCTGTAGATGAGATAACAAAGGTGGAACCAGCTTTTCCCCACCAGTCATTCCACAGGCAGGGGGCTCAGCAACTGGAACATGCTCCATTAACTTCCGATGCAGTCCCTTTCTGGACATCTTTGGTTGAACAAGGACCAGCAAATGTACCTTCCACACACAAGACAAGAAGTTTCACTTACTCTTAGTGTTCCTGCTCTGTATGCACAGCAGAGCTACCCAAAGTGACCAGCAGAAACTGCAGTGCTTCTCAGAGACCCTTGCTCCCTCCATACCATGAAATCACTCCTCATGGCTGGGCCTCAACACAGAAAAGCCTGCTAACCTCCAACCTCCAGCTTCCAGTGGCTGAGAGCACAAAGGGGTGCAGCAACCCAGTCTCTGAGTTGTTCCTCAGACTAAAGGGGTCCTTGAGATCAAACTTAAGAATTACAGGTGTATGGGTTAGCAAAATGGAAACAGACCTGTCCACTCTGCTTCCTGGGTCTGCAAGGCCCCTGCCATACCTATGGTCATAGAGCAAATGGGTAAACAATGGGCAATGGAAACCCTGTTATCATATCCCCTATCATGTCACACCCCAGTTCCAGATCTGCCCACCCTTCCCAACAAGTAGCAGCAGCCTCACTGGTAGACATTTCCCTTCTCCCATCCCCAAACTGTAGTCATACATGAGAGTCTCCACACTGCGGAGCCCTTGATGCACCAAATTTTCTGTGGGAGGAGAGACAGACTCTCGGGATTGTATCACAGAAGCAACACTGGCAAAGTTCTGCTACCAAGGTGGAGGCAAGGCAGGGCACTGGGGATGCTGCTGCCAGCTCAGAGGCTGGAGGGCTTTTGAGCTGGGCTTTCACAGGAGGGCCCAGCAGGCAGGGTGTGAGTGGAACCAGGTTTCCAAGCCATGTTCCTGGCTCCTGCTGGCAGGAAGAGTCAAGGGAACTGGCAAGACAGCAAGGACAGTGCCCAAAGCTCAGGGTTCTGGGCCTGTCCCTACATCAGGACTATGGCTGCAGTAAGCTACTCTCAGCTCCCGCAAAGGACAAGAACATAGAAGTGTTGCACAGCTATGATTTGCATTGTGCTTCTCTTGCTTCCAGGAATAAGAGTGGCTTTTTCCGAAGTCATAAAGCCCTCTTGTGCTGGCACTGGTTCTGGGAGCTTCCCAGGTAGGAAGGTCTGCCTGTCACCTTGGAGGGAGAACCAGCTCCCTCGCCACTGCCCCAAGGGTTTCCAGAGAGGTGACTAGTCCCTCATCCATGATTGTTTTCTTTTAAAGCAGACTGGCCACAGCCCAGGGCAGGCCCAGGAGCCAGGACCTTGCTGCAGACAACAGCTCCTCTGCCCAGGCTCGGCACTTCCTTCAAGTCCTGAGGTGTATGAGCTGAAGGAAAGTAATGCCTCCGGCTCCACTGCAACCACTGAAGGATTCATTTTGAGAGCTGCAGCTCAGAAGTGATTGTTAAGTATGGCATTTTCTGTTCTGATTGGAGACTTACTTCAAATAAAGATTTGAGGGTGTGTTTCAGATGATAAAAAGTGCCCTTGAGAAGGGGACTTTGATTGACCTGAGAAGCAGCAGGATGTGTGGCACACTGGCTGGAGGGTGGTCCCCACCAGGTCTCTCAAGGCATGCAGGACACTGACATCCCCAAAGCCACTTTCAACTGCAGAACTTAGTGACCAAGTATCAAAAGCAAAACACGCAGCAAATGGGTCCAAAAAAAAATGGTTTATTCTGAATATTTAATTTTTAAAAAATCATCCCTATCAGGTGTACTAAGAAATCCAGATACAATAAATTGTATTAAAACCCAACCTAATAGTGGAAAAGCAAGACTGCAGAAATCACTTCCAGGGGAAACTTGCACATCAGGACCGCCAAGTGTCCCTGATAGTCGTAACATTTCTGTGGATCTGCTGGAAAGACACCTGTCCCCCTGATCATGTGCACCAACAGGACTGGCCCTGGTGTCTCGGGAAGGACACGTATTTCCCCTGCAAGTAGCAGGCAGTATGGGCAGAGTGGCTTAAAGAGACCACCATGGCACAATGGGAAGGAACACTGTGTGTTCCCAGTTGTATTTTAGCCAACTCATTCACATTTCAATAACTAAACATGAGATTTTGGCAAAATGCACCACCCCCGATGAGGGCATCCTTCTGGAAGTTCACACCAACAATGCAACTGCCTCTCCCAACTGGAGGCCACCCAGCCACACACGTCACTGCCCCATGCATGAGCCAAGTCCATGGGAGCAGCCCTGGGTGGCACCCAGGCCAAATACTAGCTTTAAGCTAACCTCTAAGCCCTGGGCCCTTCCCTGAGGGTCAGTGTCTAAGACAAGCAGTGAGGGAACAGTGGAAGGACACGGTGACACCTAGCAGGGCAGAAGTCAGGGGTCAGGAGAGCCATGCAGAGAGGGAGGAGACAAGACAGGGGCACAGGAGAAAGCCTCAGACAACCTGGGGTCATATGGGATGAGATGTGGGGTGTCCCACCTGACTGGGGAGCCAGCACAAAGGAATGGCTGTTAGCCTCCCTCCAGGCTCATCTTAGGTCCAGTAAATGTGGGAAAATGAGGAATGATACCTTTCACATGCTGAGAGAAAAGAACTCAGCATGGACTACGACAAAGGTTTCCAGTAGCCCGCTGATCATTACCGTGTGACACTTGGATCTCAGGCTTTCAGCCTTCATGCCTTGAGATAATAAATGTCTGCTTCAACCCACTTGCCTGCTATGCACCCAGCAAACCAACACAGCCCTCTATGAGTCACGCTTCCTGCATGTGCACTTCTTTGCAATGTGTTTTGAAAGAACCTTCACCCAGTGTATGAGAACTGGGCTCCACTTTGGAGGGTGAGTGGCAATTCAGCCTCTTCGAGGTTTAGAATGCAGACCCTGGAAAATAACTTGGGGAAGGAAAAAGGAGAGTGGATCCCCAGAGTGAGGAAGGCTCTGACAGGAAGATGAAAACCAACACAGAAATCGGAGAGAGGAAATACAACACGGAGAAGGGCAAAGACTGCGCTTTCTCTCTTGTTCCTGGGTTTTGGGAAAGGGAAACTGAATCTCTAGAGACAAAGTGAAATCCGGGGATTCCAGGGATCACCGGAGAGAAACATGCTGGTGGACGGGCCAGTGGGAGCTGGGATCTGCAAGGAGAGCACAGGATTCTGCTCCCACTGAGTTCTTTGGCAGGCAGCAGCTGTTGAGTGACTCCAATCCAAGTGCCTGCCACATCCCTAAAGAGAGTGCCTTCCTCTTCAGAGGCCACTCTGAGGAAGGGTGAGTTCTGCACCTGGGACTCAGAGAAACCTTGGGAGAGCTTCCCTGCAGGACTCCTAGTGTGCGTTCCCACAGTGACTGGGTAAGGGACAGCCACAGTAGACAGCCATGGTCAGGCCACAGCTTGGAGGGCTCTGAGCTAAAGGGCACACGTGCTGGCCCCACACCCGAGGCCAGGCGCAGCCTGAGTTGCTTTGAATGTGAAACTCTTGGAGCCCTCACTTTAAGCCCACTCCCTGCTGCTGCCTGCATTTAATGTGGCTCTGGGGTCCAACTGCCTTCCTTCTCTACAAGCATGAGCTGGGACATGTTTTCACTTGGACACTGCCTCAAAATTTTATCTACTGGAGGAAAACCACGAATTCAAAATCACAAAGAAACTTCTTTCATTTGTGTGTGTGTGTGCTTGTGCGTGAGTGTGTGTGTGTGTGTGTGTGTGTGTGTGTGTGCATGCGTGTGTGTTTTGGGCTGCCCTAGAGCCCCTCCCACCTCTTTCTTCTTGTTTCCTCTTCTCAGCAGATTATGGGATTTTAAAAAGTTTCCTTTGTCATTTCTTGTGTATCTTTTTCAATTCTTTTTATTTTTCTTCTTGTCCCTTTTAATTCTGCTCCCCTAATTTTTTTCTTATTTTTATTGCACATATAACTTCTTTTTTCTCTTTTTATTGTGGGTCAACATTGTATTTGATAACATTTAAATGACCATGTCTACATGTTTAACATTGTCACTTTGCAAATTCTAGTTAGATCTTCCCTGTAAACACTGTTTTATGGATAACCCTGAAAAATGTTATAGAGACATTGGATGTTCTTCATCAATATGTTAGTGCAAGATAGATTGGTAAATGTTGGCATTTTGTTGACATTTGAGAATGTATGGCATCAAGAAGCAAGAGGAAAATGCTACGTCACCTCATTTAAACAAGTAGAGGGCTGAGGATAGAGTTCAGTGGCACAAGTGCCTGCCTGGCAAGTGCAAGGTCTTGAGTTCAATTCCCAGGACCAAAACAAACAAGCAAACAAACAAACCAGGTAGAGAGTTAGGAGAGTAGGTGGACAAGTGAACATTACTTTTTTTTTTTTTTTTTTTTTTTTTTTTGTCTTTTGGACACAGGGTCTCACTGTGCAGTTCAGGCTAGCCTTGAGATCACTTTGTAGCCCAGGCTGGTCTCAGACTTGCAAGGATCCTCCTGACTCAGCCTCCCGAGTGCTGGCATTATAGGCGTAATGCTGCGAGTGCTGGCATAATGGCTCCAAGTCAACTTTTCTAAACCCAGAAAAATTTTCATCCAAGTTAAACACTGTTGCAGACCACTGTGATATGGCTCTGAGAAGGATTTAAATTTTACTAATTGGCTTTCTATGTTTATCTGTGGGTCTGTCCTAGGCCTAGGCCCCTTGCCTGGCGACGGGAGCTGATTCATAGTAAGTGAACATCTATGAATCACTGGTCCTGGCTGAGGCCTGTAGTGGCCTGTGAGGCCAGAGTAACTTTAAAGGTCAAGATAAGGCCACAGTTGTGGACACTCTGGCTTAACCCTACTTAACAAGGTAGAGACTGCAGCTGCACAGATTACTCCTACAGTCTCACTTCTACCATGTCTTTGTGATAAGACAGTGATACTGAGTTGACTTGATTCATCACGTGGAGACGTCCTTCAGGTGACTCCCAAGGTCCATCTCATTGCCTGCACTTTCCTCAGTTTCTCCGCCCTTTGTCCTTGGTCCAAGTACAAGTGGACTGACCCAGAGAATCCTTTGTCTTTACCCTTGAAGTCTCAGGCTTAATTAAAGGGTTTTGACCCTTCTGGAGCCCTAAAAATCATATAATTTGTCTCTTTTTATTTCACCTTCACCGTACACTCGTTTGGGAGATTGGGGACCTAAGACAGAACCCAAGAAAACACAAAGCAAACTTCTATGTAGGTTGATAAGCCTTCAGAAACACTGCTTTGATGGCGGACCATTAGCCAGCATCCCCAGATGAAGCAAGTCCTTTGCAGCCAACACGTACGTTGCTTTCTCTCACTATGAAAGGCTGCCTTGGAAATCTAAGTGTCAGAGAGAAAACATGGGGTGGCGTGTGATCCAAGAAGTCTTTTATCTACACTGACCTGCAAACTACCCACAGCCCCTAAGACAGAAAGTTGCTGCTTCCTCTGTCAGCGGAGGAAAGTGAGATTGCCTGGGGAAAGTGAGGCCTGCATTTGCCTGTGGAAGGCACAAACCCTCAGCTGCACCCTGGGAGTCATGCTTTGATTGTGAGGCTGGAGAGAGGTCAGAGCAAGGACTCCAGCTCTCCCCATCCCTTCTGCACCCCTAGACAGAGGGCCTGGCTGAGAGCATGCTTCTTGGGGGTCACGAGGCTGAGGACCTGGACAAATTCCCTTTTCAGCTGGTTGCAGAGGTGAGGCCAAGCAGGGAGGGTGCCCAAGGGCAACTGTGGCCTTGAGTGTCCTCCTGCCTAAGCTCCTCCTGGGAGCTGCTGCCAGCTGAACCCTGGCTTCCAGAGCCACCAAGAGAAAAACACGCAGTTTGTGTAGAAAACACGCATCCACAAGTCCTTCATAATCCAGGGATCACACACCCTCATCAGTTTGCTCTGTTAGCTTTACCTAATTCTATAATTATGCTTCTATTGTCCCAATGGAATCCTTTGTACCATTTCTCTCTCCTATCATAGAATTTGTTTCAAATTTTTCCTCTTGCATTTCCTCATTCCCATCATTGATAGTAAAACCATAGACCTTTTTAGATCTTTAGATAAGTGACTATAAAAATACTTGAATTCTTTTCTACAATTAGCAGAGATTTAGCTATTGCACTTAGTACGTATTAGCTGGTTTCATTTTATTCATTTTATTTTATCTTTTGTCTCTTTTGAGATAGGGTGTCATTATGCAGTTCCCTTGGATGGACTTAAATTCATTTTGTAGCCCAAGCTGGCCTCAAACTCCAAGCATTCCTCCTTGCCTCAGCCTTCTAAATGCTGGGGTTACAGGCATGTGCCACCATGCCCGGCTCATGTTAGCTGTTAAACCAATAACCTGGGTTGTTTTACTGTTTACACTATAATTGTGGATTTCTTCTCTAGGATTAAGGGGGTTACATAATTGGTTCCTATGGTATGTTAATATGCAATTTTCCTTGGCCAATACTACTGTAGTTGATATTACCAGTGTCACAGAAATCCTACTTGTGGGTTTTGTGTGTAAGCCAAGATTTAGATTACCTTTGTGACATTATTAACACTACTGTACATTCCCAGAGAATTGGTGTTGGGCCATTCACACATTTATCCTCCTCTCCCAAGTAAGCTGAGGTGGTCAGATCTTGGGAATGAGGCAAAGGACTACACAGTGGTACCTCAGTTCACAAATGCTTTTGCTTGTCAAAAATTTGGTTTCCAAACAGAAGCATTTGGCAAAATTCTGTTTGATTATGAACTGTTCATCTGGTGACCAACATGACTGCAACCATCTATTTTAGACAGATGCAACTGTGGCCATTTTCCCAAGAATCAGGGAACAGATTAAGTTTGTCAACTGACGTACCACTGTAGTAAGCCCAAAATATGTCACTAAAAGTGACCATGTAAAAAGATTTCTACATTAGCAACAAAGTCTTTACACTAAAACCATCCATAAACTTTAGCACAAAATAAAACAAAAAGCCCAAGAGAAACAGGGGAAGAAAAGGCAACTAAATGCCTCAAAAATCTCTCAGCTCCACGAAGCCAATCCAGGGGATAGAGAACAGGATAAGTCACAAATGGGAATGACTTCAAAGTAGGTTGGAAAACAGATCAGAGAGGTACACAGAGGGACCACAGAAGACATAACGAAGCAGATAATGGAAGTAATAACCAAAGTGATCCAGAAGCTTCCAGAAGACACAAATAACAAACTAGCTGAGCTAAACAAAAATACACAAACCATAATGACAAGTTTAGCAAAAAAAATTGGAGTCCATAAAAAGTTTATAATCAGAAATCCAGGAGATTAAAAATTATATTGAAAGTTTGGGCCGCAGAAGTGACAAGTGTGAGAACAAAATTTCAGAACTCAGAGGCAGTTTTGCCTTCAGAGACCAACTACACAAACCAACAAGACAAGATGGAAATGGACTCAACAGCTGGATGACACAAAAAAGCCTATGAGTAATTGGAACTAGTTGTAAATCAGAGGATAACACAAATAGCACATAAAAAAAAAAGATTCACAGAAATAATTGCAGAAATCTCCCCAAATACAGGAAAAGAAACAAGCACACCAATAAGTGAGGCATGACCAAAAGGGAGCTTATACTTTTAGTACCAGCAACCTATCACAGCAGACAAACTCTTAAATGCTATTACAGAAAAGCAACCAATCAGCATGGAAAGGTAAACGCATTAAAATTACAGCAGACCTCTCAACACAAAACTTCAGGGCCAGGAGGATTGAAGTGTTTCAGGCACTAAAAGATAACTTCCAAACCCGACTTATGCATCCTGCAAAACTCTCCTTCATAACTGATGCAAACATAAAATATTTCCATGACAAGCAGCACCTCAAGATATTCATGGCCACTGAACCAGCATTACCAAAAAATTTCAACTGACTTGAAGATGACAATGCACAATATATATAACCACTAATTATTGTGCTTTGAAATCTTGTATGTTTTTCTTTTTTTTTTTTAATGTAAAATAGATTTTAAAAGAAACAAAAATTTTAAGGGTACTTCTGGAAAGCAACAATAAAGCCAACAATCTCAATAGGTCAAAAAGAATGAATATACCTGCTGGGATGAGCAGTTAAGCAAAAGGAAAAAAAAAAAGTAAAGGAAAATCAACAAGAATAAGTTGATACTTTTCAGTAAAAACTCTCAATGTGAAATGGTTTCAATTCCCAACCAAAAGACACAGAGCAGCAGAACTGATCCAGAAACCACATCCCATGATACGCAGGAATCAAGAAACACATTTAATTCAAAAAGAAATTCACAGATCAAAGATCAAAAGATGCAAAAAAAAAAATTCCAGTCAGGAAAAGAGAAAGAAGTAGTACCTTTATTTTTTTATTTAAAAGGAAAAAAAGAAAAAGAAAAACAAAACAAATCAGTATAAGGGTACAAGTAATACAGAATTACAAAAAAACAGTAAGAAATCACTTGTTAATAGATTACATATTGTCATCTTAGAAATAGTTGTTCAAGTTACAAGATTAAAGCATAAAAACTGGACAGTCAAACAGTGAGACTGCAAACAGTTGTGTTCAGTGACCCAACAAACCTTAGTAATATGGTCATCTATCTTAACACACCTAAACACACTTGCAGTTGTATCCTTTAGAGCACTTTTTTTTTTACAACAATCCCAAAATGTGTAAATTTTGTAATGATCCTAACTTTAGACAAAGTGGATTTCAAGCTGAAACTAGTCAGAAGAGACAAAGAAAGTCACTACACAGTGGTGAAAGGAACAATTCCATAGGAAGGGATGACAATTAAAAACACACCGAATACTAGCATGCCCCACTTCATAAAACAAACACTGACAGACATGCAAAGTCAGATACATATTAATGAATGGCAATGGAGGATTAGGTAATAACTCATTGTCAAAAACAGATCAGTTAGAGAACTGGGCTCAGAAAGCAGGCGAGATGCAGGATTGCTCAAGGTCCAAATTATTGTCAGCTTACAGACCAAATGTCTTGTTTTTTTGGGGCTTTAGTCAGTGGCATAAGCACCTGCCTGGCTAGTGTAAGGTCATCAGTTTGATCCCTGGTTCCAAAAAAAAAAAAATAGCTCTGTCTTGGATGGCACCATGACAAGGCTCACTGGAGGACTGTGAGATCCATTTGCTGGGTGTGAGCAGCACATAAAGCAGAGGACGGTAGAGCAGAAAATGTAAGTACATCCTACACCTAGGAATGATCTACTTCTCTGCTGCTCTGTAACAAGTCATGTCTAAGCTAGTGGTGAACAACAACAATTTATACCTGCTCGTGCCTTGTTGGTTCGGGGGCTTGGGCAGTCTTTGTCCCCAACACAGGGAAGCTCTCTTGGTTGGGGATGGCAGGGGCTTTGGTTCTGACTGTGGGAGAAGTGCTGTGGTTTTTCTTTCTCCATAATATCTCTGGGGCTGGCATATTTTTTAGGTTCCTCATTAATGTGTATGGCAGCTAGACTACAGGATGGCTAGCCCAGCTGCAGATGGCCACCAAGACCGCTCCCTCTCCACAGTCTACATGTGACTAGCACAGGCTTCCTTTCAGCACAGAGGCTCTGAGGAGTGGGCTTCTTACTTGGTGGCCTGTTCCTTCACAGCAAGAATTTCACAAAGCCCAGGTGGAAGCTGCAGTCTCAGGGCATAATTTCAGAAGTTTCCAAGCACTGCATCTGCCATATACATGTATTCTCCCACTGAGCTACATTTCTAGGCCTTTCTTTTTTGAGTCAGGGTATACTAAGTTGCCCAAGCTGCCCAGGGTAAAGCTAAGTGTCCAGGCTCCAGAGTGCTTAGAATAATAGGCACATGCCACTGGTCTCAGCATATTATATTCTTTTGCTGAAGCACAGCCCTAAAGCCAGTCCAAATTTTAGGAAATATTGGAGTCAGGGTTTACAAGGGAATGGGTTTAATTCAGGACCAATATTTTATAGGATTGTTTTATAATAGTCACCCAAAGAGTCAAGTGCAAGCATGCAGGAGATTTGTACACATACTAGAGATCCAAGTATGAGGGCCTGGATACCAAGACAATGTTTTATATGAGTCAACTGGATGACCTTGAGCCCATAGCAATATCCTCCACAGGTCCAACTGGAGGCCTAGGGTTCACCACGATGTCTCATAAAATTCTATCAGGGATATGCACTGAGAAGGCCCAAAGGTCAAGGGTGCAGCTAGAAAGTCTGTGCCAGCAGGGTAAAGGAGCTGTGCCAGCAGGCTGAGGGATCTGCGCTGCAGCCAGGAAGCGATGCTCAAACTGAGTACTGGAGTTCCCCCAAAGAGGATTACAGGCACCCTCAGCTATTGCGAGGTCCCAGGCTCTTCTGATCCTAACAGCAGAGTTTGTATTAGAAAAACCGGCCCAAGAAGCCTCTCTGAGATCCACAGCGCCACCTGTTCCTTTCCAGGTCTCCTTTTATGCTGCTGGCAACAACTCAGATGGGCCTTCCACACCCAGCACTACACACTCAGCTCAACCGGGTGTTACAAGTGGACCATTAGTTACTCCATTATAGGAGGAAAACAATTCTCCTGCAAAAGGAACCCAGAAAAAAGCAAGGGTAGCTATTCTCTTTGCAGATAAAGTGAATTTCAAGCCAAGACTGACTGACAGAGAGAAAGGTCACTATATCCTTGCAAAGGGAAGAACCAAGAGGAAGAGATCACAATCATAAATATATATGCAC